TTTTTTTTTTTTTTTTTTTTTGTTGCAGTTTTTGGCTGGGGCTGGGTTTGAACCCACCACCTCCTGGCGCCCTACTCCTTTGAGCCATAGGTGCTGTGCAGGAACTGCATTTTCTTATAAACAGTTAAACAGAAAAGCCAGAGAGAAGGTAACCCATTACAATGGAGAATGATTATTAGGGTCTTCATCAAAGTTTATTCTTATAAGAAAGAAGTTTATATAGGGTGGCCGTAAAGTTTGTGTGCAATTTAAAATAGTGTGCCATCTGTAAGTAAAGAAAAACAGACAGCCTTTAGAATGGGAGAAGATTTTTGCAGATTATGTTTCAGACAAAGGTCTGATAACTAGAATCTACAGAGAAACCAAATCAATCAATAAGAACGAACAACCCCATTTCCTTATGGGCAAGATTCTTGAACGGAAACTTCTCTGAAGATGACAGGTGAATGGCCAACAAACACATGAAAAAATGCTCAACATCTTTAATCATCAGAGTAATGCAAATTAAAACCACTTTGAGATATCATCTAACTCCAGTAATATTAGCCTATATCACAAAATCCCAAAACTGTAGAGTGGTGTGGATGTGGAGAGAAAGGAACACTTCTACACTGCTGGTGGGACTACAAACTAATACAGCCTTTTAAAAAAGAAGTTTGGAGAATTCTCAAGGAACTAAAAGTTGACCTACTACTCAATCCTGCAATTCCTCTACTAGGTATCTACCCACATGATCAAAAATCATTTTACAACAAAGACATTTGCACCAGAATGTTTATTGCAGCCCAAAACCCCATCAAACCATGAATGGATTACCAAATTGTGTACACCATAGAATACTATGCAGTCACGAAAAGGATGGAGATTTTACAGCTTTTTATAGCTTTTTACTAAAAAGAAAGTAGCTCAAGAATGGAAAGAAAAGTATCCAATATTCTCAATACTATTATGAAACCAATATATCATCACCTACATAATATGAACGATAAAACACAACTATAGTGCAGAAAGGAGAAGGAAAGGAGAGGGGTGGGGAAGGAGGAGAATGTGAAGAGGGAGGGTATTTGGTGGGACCGCACCTCTTGTGCACAAAGCAATGGTACATTTCAAAACCACTGAGAGTATAGTAGAAATGTCTTACCACAAGAAATAGGTGAGATGATGGTTATGTTAATCAGTCTGATTTAAGCTTTCCACATTGTATATCAAATCAGCACATTGTACCCCATATTTGTACACAGTTATAATTTAATAACTTAATAAAAAAATAGTGTGCCATTTAAAATTACACATGAACTTTATGGCCACCCTGTACAAGGATATAACTGTAGATTATTTAATTTTATTGTTTTAAGTTATGAAAATCACTGTAGTATCTATAAATAAGTATACATATACCGAGTACCTCTAGATCAGTGCTGTCTAATAAAAGTGTAATGCAAGCCATATAGGCAATATAAAATTTTCTAGTAGCCACCTGAAACAGGTGAAATTAATCTTACTGACATTTTATCTATCCCAGTTATCCAAATATTATCATTTCAACATATAATCAATATAAAAATTATTAATGAGAGTCTGCAGAAGGAAAGAGAAATAAACATACTTCACTTTCGGGCCTTACTCACTGGGATTGCAGAAGCTCAGAGTTAGTGCCAACCCCAGATTAGGTTCTATAACCGCAGAGAAGAATACCAAGGGAGAAAAACCAGGAATAAAAATGGAGATGGCGATACTTCAAAGTAAAAGTATCTGAAGTCCTCAAAACGTAAAGGAGGAAAAAGCAACTCAGGGACCAAAAAGCCTCTGAGGTTAGTTAGTTACATCTTGGAGTGACCATGACATCCAGACTTTTCTGGAAGAATGAGAATTCCTTGAACATGTAATATTCTTTAGGAGGAGGAAGAAGAAGCAAAAGCTGGCAAAAGCAATTGCCCAGTGTCCCAAGCAGAGGGGCATAAAGAAACACTGGCAAAGGAGTCTACAGATGATGACAAATGTACAAGATTTGTACTGGACCATTCATGAGGCCAACCAGAAATGAAGGAGTGAACCCTTGCCAAGTCCTTAAGGAGAGGACTTACACAGGATCTTGGGATATCATTGGGAACACAATCACTTCTCAGATCCTCCCTGTTCAGAAACAGCCAACCTTGTACCCCTAGTATCAGCTCCAGGCTGGTGGCATCCTTGGACCCTCCAGGAGCAGCTGTGGCTTCCCCAACTTGTGATGTTCATGCAGAATCCTCAGGTACCTAGATGGCCGTGAGCCCTCCATGGTCAGTAGATGGCTGTAAGCCCTCCACAGTCAGCTCCATGCCTGTTTCCTGCCTTTTTTTTTTGGCAGAGCGTCTCACCGTGTTGCCTTTGGTAGAGTGCTGTGATGTCACAGCTCACAGCAACCTCAAACTCTTGGGCTTAAGTGATTCTCTTGCCTCAGCCTCCCAAGTAGCTGGGACTACAGGCGCCTGCCAGAACATCCAGCTATTTTTTTGTTGCAGTTGTCATTGTTGTTTAGCAGTCACCGGCTGGGTTTGAACCTGCCAGCCATGATGTATGTGGTCAGCATCCTAACCACTGAGCACAGGTGCTGAGCCCGGTTTCCTGCCTTTTCCATGGCAGTCCTAGCCCCCAGCAGCGGTGGTGACGTAGATCCCAAACTTCAAGAAATTTTGAACCTGGACTCTGACTGTACATGAGAGACACAGATGTTGCAATTCTACCTTCTTATCACTCCTTCTCTACCCCAAGCCCAGTGAAATGAAAATTGAGATTGCATAAGAAAAAATAATTATTAAGGAGATGTTTAACATTATTTTTAATAAGATGAGTGTGTATTTTACATTTACAACACATCATTAGCTGTACTTCAAACGCTCAACATTGGACAGCTGGGTGCTAGACTGTGGGCTTTCCAAGGACACACAAAACAATATTCATTTTATGGCATTTCTTAAAGTCTCAAACTAACTAGAACCCATCCAGAAGGATTAATTAACTCAAACACTTTTCTTCTTGTCCCTCATCCCATCATTTTTTTCTTTTCCCCATTATTTGAAGACAAACAATAACAGCGACAAAACAAAAATTAGAAAACTTAAATAGGGACCACTGAAGCTCAGACTTAGCCGCGTCTCTTTTGTCGTGTTAAGGGGAATCTTTAGCCCAATGGTCAAATCAAATTATCATCTTAATTTTATCCAGCTCTTGAACAAAAAGAAAGTTCCATTTATGGCAATGGTTGCAAATATGGAGCATGTCATTGGGTAATGTACAATAGCTACACAGGAGAGAAAACGTGCACAGACCAAGACTTGCCAAGACATTAGGTAGAAATGATAGTGTTTAATTTTAGAAAGCTGAGAATGTATTTTAAAATGTGAAAAGTGGGCGGCACCTGTGACTCAGTGAGTAGGGCACTGGCCCCATATACCGAGGGTGGCAGGTTCAAAGCTGACCTTGGCCAAATGCAACAAAAAAATAGCCGGGCGTTGAGGTGGGCGCCTGTAGTCCCAGCTCCTTAGGAGGCTGAGGCAAGAGAATTGCTTGAGCCCAAGAGCTGGAGGTTGCTGTGAGCTGTGATGTCACAGCACTTTACTGAGGGCGACAAAGTGAAAAACTCTGTCTCAAAATAAAATAAAATAAAATGTGAAAAGTTAATTATTAATATATTAATAAACCTAAGAAAAACTGTATTATTTTTCATACACACTAAAGAGGCATTTGACAAAATTCAACTACTATTCTTTTTAACCTATCCTCTTAACTCTTAGTCTTGATGAGAAAAAAAAATAATCCTGGCTCAGTGCCTGTGGCTCAAACAGCTAAGGTGCTAGCCATATACACCTGAGCTAGAGGGATCAAATCCAGCCTGGGCCTGCCAAACAATGATGGCTGCAACTAAAAAATAGCCAGGCATTGTGGTGGGTGACTGTAGTCCCAGCTACTAGGGAGGCGGAGGCAGGAGAATCGCTTGAGCCCAGGAGTTGGAGGTTGCTGTGTGCTTTGATGCCATAGCACTCTACCCAGGGTGACAGCTTGAGGCTCTGTCTCAAAAAACAAAAAAACCCTTAAATAAATATGAACTGATGTGTATTTGTTTAATATTATAGGATTGCATGTGTGTTCTTCTGTGTATATCAGAAAAAATTAGCAAATACTTTATGGGGAAACAGAAACATATAAAATTGATATGAAGGAAATGTTAAAAATACTACTGAAGGAACAAAAATAACTTAAATGAACATAAAGACCTATATGTTAAAAGGTAATAAGATCCAATCTTGGCTCGGTGCCTGTGGCTCAAGCGGCTAAGGCGCCAGCCACATACACCTAAGGTGGCGGGTTCGAATCTCCAGCCCGGGCCCGCCAAACAACAATGATGGCTGCAACCAAAAAATGGCCAGGTGTTGTGGCGGGCGCCTGTAGTCCCAGCTACTTGGGAGGCAGGAGACTTGCTTGAGCCCAGGAGTTGGAGGTTG